ACCTTGAAGAGCTTCAAGAGTCAGGAGAAGAAGGAACCTCTGACACTGGCATGCAACCTGAGGAGGAAACTCCTGTTGAACCTATTGACCAGTCCTTACCTCTTAGACGTTCAAGTAGAGTTGTTGTTCCACCCCAGTTTTATGGTTTCCATATTACTACTGACGGGGATACGTTTATTAGTGATAGTACACTAGTAAATTTGGACGAACCTAACAGCTACAAGGAAGCCATGGCAGGCCCAGAGTCTGTTAAATGAAAGAGGCAATGGATAGCGAGATTCAGTCCATGTATGACAACCAAGTTTGGAATTTGGTTGACAATGTGCCAGGTCGTAAGACGGTCGGGTGCAAGTGGATCTTCAAGAAGAAGACGGACATGGATGGGAAAGTGCACACTTATAAAGCGCGATTGGTCGCGAAGGGCTTTACTCAAACTCCTGGAGTTGACTATGATGAGACCTTCTCACCAGTTGCGAAAATAAAGTCTATTAGGGTAATGCTTGCGATAGCTGCGTTTCATGATTATGAAATTTGGCAGATGGACGTAAAAACCGCTTTCCTAAATGGGAAGTTGGCTGAGGATGTTTACATGAATCAGCCAGAGGGTTTTGTCGATGCAAAGCATCCAAATAGAGTGTGCAAGCTTGAGAAATCCATTTATGGATTAAAGCAAGCGTCTCGCAGATGGAATCTTTGTTTTGACGAGAAGGTCAAAGAGTTTGGTTTTCTGCGAAATGAAGATGAGTCATGTGTATATGTCAAGGCCAGTGGGAGTATAGTGAGCTTCCTCGTATTGTATGTCGATGACATACTACTCATAGGAAACGACATCCCAACATTGCAGGAGGTCAAGTCCTGGCTTGGGAAGTGTTTCGCTATGAAGGACCTCGGAGAGGCTGCATATATTCTGGGAATAAGGATAGTGAGAGACAGAAGTAAGAGACTGATAGGACTCAGTCAGGATACATACTTGGAAAGGGTACTAAAACGTTTTAGTATGGAAAATTCCAAGAAAGGGGAGTTACCAATCCAATGCAATACCAAACTGAGTAAGACTCAGAGCCCGAGTACAGAGGCAGAAATAGCTGATATGAGCCGAGTACCTTACGCTTCCGCAGTTGGCTCAATTATGTACGCTATGACCTGTACTCGCCCTGATGTGGCTTTCGCTTTGAGCATGGTCAGCAGATATCAAGGGAATCCTGGTAGGGCACATTGGATTGCTGTCAAGAATATTCTTAAGTACCTACGAAGGACTAAGGAATGGTTTCTAGTCCTGGGTGGGAGTGATGACTTAAGGGTGCGAGGGTACAGTGACGCTAGTTTCCAGACAGATCGGGATAATTACCGATCGCAGTCAGGCTGGGTCTTTACCCTGAATGGAGGAGCAGTGACTTGGAAAAGTTCCAAGCAAGAAACCGTAGCTGATTCAACGTGCGAATCAGAGTACATTGCGGCAAGCGAGGCGTCAAAGGAGGCTATATGGTTGAAGAACTTCATTGGAGACCTTGGAGTTGTGCCATCCATAAAGGAGCCCATGGAAATTTTCTGTGATAATGAAGGAGCGGTTGCCTTAACCAAGGAACCAAGGGATCATGGCAGATCTCGACATATCGACAGGAAATACCATTTTATTAGACATCGGGTAGAAGAGGGACTCCTCGTTGTGAAGAGGGTATCGTCAGAAGATAACCCAGCAGATCCCCTCACGAAGGGACTGAGTAGGGTTAAACATTTGCAGCACGCTAGGAGCGTAGGGCTGAAGGACGATATTAGTTTAGATTAGATAGGTAGGAAACTTGTAATGGATGATCATGTATTCAACATTTGATGATTAAATAAAGGTGTGTTATTTATAAGAAAGCTTCTATCTTGTGTTGATTATTTATCTATTGTTTCAATTTTGCATGTTTTGACTTCCTGAATAATAAGATTATTCGAACAGTCCACAATCGTTCATATGTTGGAAGTAGATATGAAGGAAGATTGTCATAAATTTGTTTGTAGATTGTCTGAAAAGTTTTAGACATAGCAAAGGTTTGCTGCAAAGTTTATGAGTGCTTATGAAATTTGTATTGAGCATTGGAATAGACCCACACTTGCTGGTATCACTTCATGAATGTTATCACAAGTGATCGCAAGATGATAATATCATATAATCTTTAAACCTAGAGATATGGTTATTGTTTGCTGGTTGATTATACATTGATAATGCGAAAACGCATCAGTAACTTGATGTTATAAAACACATTATTGTGTGTGGTTTAACTAGTAAATGATAAAGGCATATTAGTCGACGTTTTTCTGTTCCTTTTATTCTATGAGAATAAAAGCGATATCTTGGCCACTTGATGATTTGGTTTGACTTATGTGCCGGGCCCGGTCAGGATGAAGTTGATGTGTTCAACTGAGTTCTATGTCGAACAAATCAGAGATCAAGAAATAAAATGCTAAACAATAAGTATTGTTAGCATGATATCTAGAACAGAGGATTATACGATCCCTTATCTGAAGGACAGATTATTGGTCAGAGTTGACAGCGGCTATTGAAAGCTACGATTGCTAATCGGATACGGAAGTCATATGTGAGATGTGGTTACTAGACTTATCCAAGTGGGAGACTGTTGGATTTGTGTCTAAGTCCGTAACTATATTTGGTATGTACTTGACCCGAGTGTGCATGGTCCTTTTGGGTTGCCTTCACCAAAGCAACTTGACAAGGTAATTTGATATGAGAGAGAAGATATTATGGTTTATTAATATATTATAAGAATAATATATTAAAGGAGAAATCATATTTATTTAATTAGTATTAGTCATAAATTAATTAGGAATTAATTTGGTGACTAAAAGAGATTAATTAAATAAAGGGGTATAAACTGTCAAATGTGTGATAGTTGAGTTTTGGGCTGGGAAACCTTATGGACTAAGGGGGAACGAAATTATGATGAGGGATCATCATATTTTCGTCCAAGGGCCTCATTCCAGAAGGTTCCTTGGGCTGCTTGGTGGCTAAGCTATCCATTAGGGTTTAGACTGAAACCCTAGCACCCTACAGTATAAATAGATGCCCTATGCTTCAATTTTAGGCCACTTGATTCCAAGGGAAACCCTAGGGCCGAAATTAGCATCCTTCCCCTCTCTCTCTTAATTGTCTTCTTGCTTCAAGGTGTTTGTGAGCCATTAGAGGCACTACAATTGTGGTGCTTGCTTTCAAGAGTTCAAGAGATCAAGGAAACTAGTTGTTATTGCAATATAACAACAAAGGTATGTCTTCTACACTTCTATATGTTTTTCGAAAATTATAGAAGCATGCTAGGGTTTATTTTGTGTTCATATAGTTGTATGTCTTATAGTGAAAACATAGATCCAATTAGGGTTGCATGCACACATAGGATTGTTTGTATAAAACCTATCAGTAAGACCTTGGGGGAAGCCCACGACATCCTGGAGTAAGACCCTGGGAGGAGCCCACATCATCCTTATATGCTTATATGCATGACTTATGTGATTGATATGGCTTATGTGATTGATATGACCTATGTGATTGATATGTTTTATGAGGTTATGTGGATTATATGGGGAACTCACTAAGCTTCGTGCTTACAGTTTTGTTTATGGTTTCATGTATCATTGGTTTGGAAAGGAAGAGTCCGACTTGATCGCATCGCCCACACCGGTGTTTTCCGCATTATGTGATTTTGGGGATGTAACTCTGATAAATGTTTTAATTAAACAATGTTTTTGAATGATTGGATTAAGTAACAATTGTATTTGACTATAATAAAAATGAAATTTTTACCCTTGATTTTTAGGTCGTTACAATTGATTTCCATAAAGGCAAAAGTGTGTGAAATTGAAACTATTTTTTAATTCAGAAGTTTTAGTTTAAACAAAAAAATTAACAACATTGACAAATGCATTAAATAGTAGAAGGAAAACAAATAAAATCAAAGTAAATAGTTTTATTGGAAACAAATCTATTAAAACAACTAATTAGATTAATGTGAAGATTGAGGTTCGAGTTCATGAAAATATGTAATGATTTGATAATAGGAATTGAAAGTGTGAAACAGAAAATGATAAAGCATAGAAGAAATATCGTTGATCGTCGATGATAAGGCTGGAAAAGTTTTTGCTCTATTTTATTTTTCTACAGAGGAAATATGTCAACTGTTCCTGCGTAAATCGAAAAATAAAAATGTTAGAATTATGTATTATGTATAGAAGATATATAACGATGAAAAAGATGAAATAAATAAATTGAAATGTATTTTAAATTTAAATTTGAAATAAAAGATAAGAACCCTTATAAGTTCATTTTTTTTACAAAGATATCATTTGATTAATGAAAAACAATTTACTATGTATAAGATTAATTAAAATCAATTAGAAGGTTTAATATGGTAAACAATTAAATATTAGAAAACGTGAATAAAGATTCTATAATTAAGCTGCTGATTTTATGAGATTTGATATAATCTTTATTATGTAAATTCACGGGTATTAAGGGTAACACTGTAAGTTACAGGGGCGGATTTTTGGCCGGGTCACCGGTGGCACCGGCAACCCCTAACTTTTCTGGCGGCAGTGGAAATTTTTTCGAAATCTTTTAAAATTTTTATTTTTTCTACTATCGTGCAACCCCTAACTTTTCCGTGCAACCCCTACTGTGAAATCCTGTGTCCGCTCCTGGTAAGTTACCTTTAGACAAAAAAAAGTTTTTACCAAAATTTTGGTAGGTGATATTAAGGATAACACTGTAAGTTACCTTTAGACAAAAAAAAAGTTTTTACCAAAATTTTGGTAGATGATGTCATAAAGTGTTCTAAGGATGAAAAATCTTAAAACCTGATTGTTTAAGAAGATGTTATAAAGTTTTTTTTAATAATATTTAAAGATCATCTTATAATAATATATAAATATGTTTAACATTTAATTTCTGTATTAGCGGCAAAAATATAAAAGACTAGAAATTTCACAAGACAGCAGCATTTGCTGTTTCACTTTCTGTTGGTGTGGGTGGGTCTACTCTCCTTAAATAATGTCTATTTTCCACCGCACCACCATCTGCTTTCAACCATCCTTCCCCAAATTTGAAGCCACGCATCGCATCGACAGTATCAGACACCAAGAAACTGTACCAATCGCACCTTTTCCATCTCAAAATCCCAATCTTCTTGATTCCTCAAACCACAAGGAGCACTAAATTCAACCAAACTCCAGTGTTCAGTCCACAGAATCATTTGATCTAGGGCTTCCTCCCGTCAATTGACCTGTTGATTGAAGTTTTGAAGTCATAACACTGTTCCTCGATCTGATTATCTCTATTTTTGATTGAGTTGAACTTAGATTAGTTGCTTGATTTATCGGTGTTGCAAGAGTGAAGATTACGATAATGTCTTGGAAGAACAGAGGTGGTGGAGAGTCGCATTCAAGAAGTTTGATGTCAAGACAGTTGACCCTATTCTTGTGTGCCGGTTGCTTCTTCGCCGGAATGCTCTTTACGGACAGGTTTTCTTCTCTTTCTTTTACTGACCCCACACACCACTTAATGGAGGGTTTATATTGGAATCATTGAGTCCTCATATCTTACTTTTTGATAATCTTTGAAATGTGCGTCAAATGATTATGAAAATGGTTTCTTTAAATTCGTGATTCCTTTTAAAATTTAGTGATCTTAATGGACGGATTTAGCAATCATTTCTTGTCTACAGATTCTTGAATCTTGTAACTTTTGCTGATCTTGATATGGGTTTAGAGTTCAGTATTGCTTACATATTCTTTATCCTTACAAACGAACTAGATCAACAAGATCCAGAAAAATATAATTTACCAAAGGAACGAGATTAATGAGATTAAGTGTTTATGGTGTTAGATTGTGGATCGAGCCTGAAGCTAAAGAGCTATCAAAACCAACTGGAACTGAATATGAACAAATTAAAGTCCTAGCAGATGGTTGTGACACAAGACTAGTGAGTAAAAAAAATCTATTTAGTTTCTTTTTTATTCATCTCATCTGTATATTATTAATCACATTTTCCTTTTTTATGCTCTCATTAGAAGGACGTTAGGAGGGATTCCAAAGATATAATCCGTGAAGTTTCAAAAACACATAATGCAGTCCAGTAAGCTTCCTTGTCCCTATCCTTTCGTTCTAGTCCAAGGACAAAAAACATGTTTGACTTTGCTGATTTTTTTTTTCTTGTTGATATAACTTATGCAGAACACTAGATAAAACAATTTCAAGCTTAGAGATGGAACTAGCAGCTGCAAGAGCAATGCAAGATTCTATACTTACAGGATCTCCTATATCTGATGATTTAATGTTACCTGAGCCCATTAAGAAAGGAAAATATCTAATGGTTATAGGCGTTAATACTGCTTTTAGCAGCCGAAAGAGAAGGGATTCTGTACGTGCTACTTGGATGCCTCAAGGTTGTTCATGCTTCCGTGCTTTTTATCTAATCTAAACAATCTTTTTTCTTTTTGAATCTTGAATCTTGAATCTTGAATCTTTTTTATGTTTTATAAACTCCAGGTGATAAACTTAGGAAACTAGAGGAAGAAAAGGGTATTGTTATGCGATTTGTTATAGGTCATGGGTATGCAACAACTATTTTGCTATTTAATAGCTATGCACTAAAACATGTATTGTATTGATGTTTGATGTTGTTTTCCAGTGCTACATCCGGTGGTATTCTTGATAGAGCTATTGAAGCCGAAGATAGAAAGCATGGGGATTTCTTGAGGCTGGTAAAATAAAATTACTTCTCCACTACAAGAAAATTAGGCATCTGTAACTAAGTAACTAAAGTATTAGAGACTGATTAATTACACACCAATACTGATATAAATGGATGTGAGCAGGAGCATATTGAGGGATACCTTGAACTATCTGCCAAAACAAAAACATATTTTACAACCGCTGTTGCTTTGTGGGATGCTGATTTCTATGTCAAGGTTGATGACGACGTGCATGTAAATATAGGTAAAGTTATAATATGACCTTTTCTTTTTTTTTTAAAAATATTTTGTTAGTTTTTTTTTTTCCTCTTGTCACAAGTTTGTGGTTGTGATTACAGCGACACTTGGAGCAACCTTAGCTAAGCATCGGTTGAATCCCCGAGTGTACATTGGATGCATGAAATCTGGTCCTGTGCTTGCTCACAAGTAAGCCAAAGCTTTTTCTGTGTTAGTTTGAATGTTGACTATTGTGGTTTTCGAGCATTGACTTTTTTTTTCTTAAAGAGGAGTGAGATATCACGAGCCTGAGCACTGGAAATTTGGTGAGGAAGGAAACAAGTATTTCCGACATGCCACTGGACAACTATACGCCATATCAAAAGATTTAGCCACTTATATCTCAATAAACCAGTAAGTGGGATCAATTATCCCCATTTGTTACACAAAACATGACATGACAGAACATGTTGTACTGTGTTGTACTGTGCCTGGTATGACTGGACTGATGTCAGCAGGACAAAATTCACTTTTTTGGTATCTAACTTTTGAATCTTTTAGGAACGTACTACACAAATACGTGAATGAGGATGTATCTCTAGGATCATGGTTCATTGGACTAGACGTGGAGCACATTGATGATAGAAGGCTATGTTGTGGGACACCACCTGGTAAGTAATTTTCTTGTATATATGTTGATTATCTGTGTTAGTATCCCACATCAGCTAGACACAGTCTCATCTGACTCTATATATGTTGGAGTCTGCTATCCGACTCTTTTGAAGAGAAAATCATCGACTCCATGTATCTCACAATATGAATGTTTCTTGTGAGTGTAGATTGTGAGTGGAAGGCTCAAGCAGGGAACATATGTGTGGCGTCTTTCGACTGGAGTTGTAGTGGGATTTGCAGGTCTGCTGATAGGATCAAGGAGGTTCACAAGCGGTGTGGGGAAGGGGAGGATGCTCTTTGGAGTGCATCTTTCTGATGATGATGATGTCAAAGAGGTGTAAATCTTTAGAAAAAACATTATCTTTCTTTATAACCATACTTGAAGAGAAAACCCCCGTGAGTTTGATGGTGAGAGGGTGCCACTCGATTTTAGGTGAAGAGGAAGTACCCGATGTTTTCTTTTTGATTTGGGTAAATATTGTTTTGGCACAATAAGCTTCATGGGTACGATGCATTTAGCAGATTGTGAAATTTAAGTTTGTAATCTTTAGATTACGTTGAAAATGTTGTAGTTGTTGGGAACGAAAAGATATTGATATGGAATGAAGCAAACAAAAAACATCAACGGAATATTTTTGAGCAATAAAAAAGATTTTGTTGTTTGGATTTTATTGGGTGAAAAGCTTTGTGACATGAGAAACATATTTTGTAATGTGAGTAATTCAATACGGGGTCGAATTCGATTAATTATGTAATGTTAGAACTTAGAAGACAACCATCTTTTACAATTCTATCACAAAATGATCGCCATATTCGTGAGGAAGTCTCGTGAATTCACGAGTTAACGTACTTGACACAAGTGATTTCGTTTATGAACACGAAATTCATTAAATATGGGAAGTGATTTAAGTTAAATCGTTTGAAACTGTAACATTATTGTTTCGTGAATTCTCTGTGAAGGAATACAAATGGTCCACCATCTATTTATCATGATCGTGAAGCCTGTTTTTTTCTTCAAAATACGCAAAAGATTTTCATTTCAAACACTAAAAATGCCATATTTTCAGAAAGGGTCATTTTTCCCCAAGACTTACATCCCCATCAAGTATGCCCTTAAACCTATTTCCTAGAAGCTGATATAAAAAAATGTTATGTTGAAATATACATATAAGACTATATACCTTTCTCGAGTGTAGACAAGTTTTGTAAATTTGTTTTAGGTAGGCAATCGCGTCGTGTCGTGTCGAAACACTAAAGGGTTGAAAGTGCTTGACCCTAACCCGAGCCGTTTAATTAATGTGTCGTGTCGTGTCAACCCGTTTACTTTCGTGTCGAGTTCGTGTTGGGTTTCGTGTTAGGGTATACCTTGAAATATGTCGTGTCATGTGAGGTTAAAAGATTGAGCATGTTTAAATAGTAAGAGTTGCATAGGCAGAAAGGAAAAAAAATAATAGTTTGGGGGCGGAATAGATGAAGTCATAGCAAGTTCAGATGACATGAGCTCGGGAGGTGGAAGACAAGATCACGAGGATGAGAGAGTGGTCAAAGGGAATGTATTGTTTGGGAGAGAACGGAAAAACTGAAAATGAAGTCTTGATCTAGTGTGACAACCCGAACCCTTTTCCAGTTTCCGTTAATAAAAATTTTATTTTATTGGGTTTCGTCAACTTCCTTAGGTTTGGAAAATCATTTTGAGTGCTATATTCGAGTCTGAACCAAAACCACACGAAATTTCGGGAATTCCTTCGAACAGGACCGAGTTCACGGCCGTACACCGGTGTACGGCCGTACACTCGTATACGGCCGGCGTTGGGTGGACCCCACCACCGACCAACGACAACCCCTATAAATATGAGACCCTACCCTTCATTTACACTCTTCTGGCCGGACACACTCTCTTTCTCTCTCTAAGAATATCGACCGTACACCCCTAAAAACACTCTAAACCTTTCGAAAATCATCGAGAAACACCATTTGGGGTCATTTCAGAGCATCTAGAACACGTTTCTCGTCGAAATCAGCACCTTTGTTCTTGAGTGTACGGCTGTACACCTTCAAGTTCATTGACCGCACACCAGTCTATGACCGTACACCTTCAAAGGCCGTACTCCTTCAAGGGCCGTACAACGTTTATAGCCGCACACTTGTTCACGTCCGTAAACCCCGTACATGGCCGTACACACTTCTTAAGTGGTGTATTTGACTGAAAATCCTACTTTCCTCGATTCGATCAAGTCCCGGTAACATTCCTTAACCGAACTCAAAGTGTTTTTCTACACTTTATCTAGCGAAATCACTAATTTAAATACATAAATATATTTAATTGTTATTAGGATTCCGTTAAGTGCCACACGCTACAACTCGAGGGTCTTCATTCCAGCTCGTTGATTCGACATTTGCACACTACTAACAGTGAGTTCATACCCCTACGCTTTTATGGTTTTTAAACATTTTCAGGGGGGAGGGGGGGGGGGGAATACAAGCCAAACACAAATGATTTTGTGAACTAAAATAAAAGAATTTTGACAATTATAAAACTTATGCAATTGATACAGACAAACGATTTCCACGTTTTTATAAAAATATATAGATATTTATTCCCTTTTGTACTATGTTGAGCATAAGAGACGTTTTCAACGTACAACCATAATTGCATAGTTTTCAGATCAATATACGAACCAAATACACAATATACATGCAAACTATAATAGGTATAGTTTGGGGTTTTCAATGCACAACTTTTACGAATTCAGAGTTATACACCGCTAAACATATAAACTATGACAAAATTTGGTTTATGATATACATTACTACAGGAGTACAATATTTAATAATTATTTAAGTATAATTATTACCATATACAGTATTCAGCGGATTCAAATACAAGAGAACAATACATAATTACACGTAAACCAGATTATACAGAATTGTGAGACTCTACTTCAAAACTGTACCCTTAGGTGTACTGAATTAAATCCTATCATAGTATAACCAGAGTCTCCTGGAGGGAGAGCGTGAGATTTGTGAATAGATCTATTCGGGACTGACAATCCCACACCTGAACTGCTAGCCACAGTTAGGCAGGCATGCCTGAGGTGACAAATGTCATTTAACCGATACTTGAAGAACGTCGTAAAGGTCACTAGGTCATATCAAGCATGGTTATACGACTCACAATAAGTATAAACTAACCGTTGTTTACGAGATTTCATTCTTCATCAGTTTTATTTTAATTTATAGAACTATTATACATTACATTGGGGGATTTCAGAGATACAATACACGGTTTTATTTAAATAATAAAACTACTATACCCATTGGTGGTAACCAGAGTTTTTCAAACAGAACTTACTATATGTACCAGCGATAGCCAAAGTTTTTTTAAACAGAACATTTTACACAGAGGTTTTCATACAGAGATCATCATACAATACATCTAGTAGTAATCAAGCATACAAATTAATATGTTTTATATACTACAACCGGATACAATAACAAACATTCATAGTTAGTTCTATAACTCTTTAGTCTATGCATCAGGGTTACATATGAAGAATACTTGATAGACTGTGGGATATGTGGTTTCCGCCTCATTTCCTGTTCCTTGTTTGGTTGTGGGCTTAGGGCAGATCCATATAACCAACTGTCTGTTCGATGTTGGTTTATACGTGGCTAGCATGAACTAAGTGGTTATACATGTAAATGATATTATCTCACTTTTACTAAAGAAAATATTGGATTTTCTTGGAAACATGCGAACATTTTTACAAAGTCATCAACAGGTTTTCATTACAAAACATCGCTTATGAACTCACCAGCTTTATGCTGATACCCTTTCAAAACTGCTTGTATTCTCAGGAAATCAGTAGACAGGTACCTCCTGGAGTTTTGAGAAGACGGAGTGTATAGAGTCACGTCTTTCTATTTTTTATTATACTTTTGATGTATAAAAACAAGAATCAAACAGATGTAAACCCTTTCCATATATGTATTCAATGTAATGGTTGTGTTTACTATGATTGCTATGATACAATTGTTGTGATACTACACATGACGTCATCCACCCCCGAACGTTTCCGCCGTTCCGGTTTGGGGGTGTGACAGATTGATATCAGAGTTATTGTTTATAGTGAACTAGGTATACCGAACCTTACATGGTATACAACTATAAACACTAAGGGGCCGAAGTGCTCTGAACTAAAAGTATACTTTTAAAATATAAGTATTTTATAAAGAGTATACAAGTATCCATAAGTACGAGAAACAGTATCATAAGTAGAACAAAACAAAAGTATTTGGATGTTGGACACTGCGGTTAAACCTGGGTAGTTATGTAATCATGTATGGTATCAATATAGCCTGATCAACTATATTTATTTGAGACATGATCAACATGTGTCTGGGAGTGATCATGGTGTTGCAGCAAGCCTAAAACTTACCAAGCTATATACATCAAGATATCGATAGAACAGAGCATACAACTTAAAATACTATATGAGTATTTTAGCTAGAGCCGAATACAATATAGAGATTCATTCCAAGTGTTGCTACTCATTTCTCCCTAGCGATAGTTTACTTGTATTGGTAACTTTTCTCTGTTTATCGCTTAATAGAACACTTTATCTATCAGGATGAGATATATCTTGTTTCATATCTCTTAATTTAAAATCTAGGGGACTTATCATCCTCTTCTTCCTGATTATTTTTAGAACAAGATGCCTCCCAGAAAGAGACCCAACAGGAAGAACAACGACCCTCCGCCGCCACCACCTCCTCAGTTCGATCCTGCCATGTTCCAGGCAGCAGTTTCAGCCGCCGTGACTGCAGTAATGGCGCAAATTAACCCGGGTGGCTCGGGTGGATCAGGAGGTGGACCAGAACCCCAAAATCTTGGTGGAGGCCAGGGACACCAGAAGGAGTGTTCCTATAAGGACTTCATGAACGCGAAACCCAAACCCTTCGACGGCAATGGAGGAGTCATTGCCTTAACCCGATGGTTCGAGAAGATCGAATCCATCTTCGAGATTTGCGCTTGTTCTGAGGCCAACAAGGTGAAGTTCGCCGCCTGCACCTTCACCGACAGAGCACTGACCTGGTGGAATGGTCGAGTCAAATCCCTAACCCTGCCGGTAGCGAATGCCATGGGTTGGGAAAGCTTAAAGGAACTCATGCTTGCCGAGTACTGTCCAAGGGGCGAAATGCAGAAGTTGGAGCATGAGCTCTGGAACCTGAAGATGAAGGGTTCCGACATTGCCGCTTACACGGCTAGATTCTGCGATCTGGCTCTTCTCTGTCTGGGAATGGTCACCCCGGAGAGCAAGAAAATAGAAAGATACATTTGGGGATTGACGCCCCCAACTTAAGGGAATGTTTTGGCTGCTAAGCCTTCTACATTTGATAGCGCCAAGTGCCTGGCGCAGACTTTGATAGATCACGGAGTTGGTCTGGATGAAGTGACAGCCGCTCCCGAACCACCAAAGGCGAGTGGTGGAAAGAAAAAGTTCTGGAACAAGCGTAAGGGCCAGTCTTCACAGGAGCCCTCCAAGAGACAAAAAACAGTGGCAGTCCACGCTGCTACTACTCCTGCTGCAGTTCCCACTACTCCAACAACCCTTAGCCGCTATGCTGGAAA